CGGGGGCACTGTCATGCTGAAACAGGAAATGCCCTTCTCCAAAATGTTGCCACAAAGTTGGAAGCACAGAATCATCTAGAATGTCATTGTATGCTGTAGCGTTAAGATTTAACTTCCCTGGAACTAGGGGCCTAGCCCGAACCATGAAAAACAGCCCCAGAGTATTATTCCTCCTCCACCAAACTTTACAGTTGGCACTATGCATTGGGGCAGGTAGCGTTCTCCTGGCATCCGCCAAACCCAATTCCATAAAGCTTCTACTAAGCCTTGTGGAATTGTTTTAAGAAGGTCATACCAATACCCCTTGAAGTATCCAAAAACGATCTAAAAAAATATTTGATGAAACATTTAATTTGGCCTTACTGGTATTAGCCCATAAAAAATGTATTGAATAACAGATTCACTACATGGATTAACAGATAGTACCCCCAAAAAGAAAGATCAGGGAAAAAAAAGTATTTTACATGTATTTAAACTGACAAATTGTTGTGGAGATTTTTTTTATTATGCCAATTAGATTTCGACCTTAGGGGTTCCTTTAGTTTATTTAGCAAATATTTTCTTCCTAACTTAAAAAAAAGTTGATTGCATCCTGCATTGTTGATTCAGGGCTTATAAGCATTTCAGAGTAAGGTCCATACCTGTTGTATTCAGCGCATGTGATATATAAAAATGTGATTTGATAATCAGAATGTACTATACTGCATTAAATAATTACTACCTTCTGTATGGACATACAAACCTCAGAACCTGACAGGTTCTTTCCAGCGCAGTCTAAGGATGTTTATATAAAAGCCAATGAAATGGACCACTCAAGGACATTCAGAGACTTGTCCCGAAGCCACTCCTGTGATCTCTTGGCTATGTGCTTAGGGTCGTTGTCCTATTGGAAGGTGAACCTTCACCCCAGTCGGTGGTCCTGAGCGCTCTGGAGCAGGTTTTCATTAAGGATCTCTCTATAATTTGCTCCGTTCATCTTTGCCTCGATCCTGACTAGTCTCCCAGTCCCTGCCGCAAAAAAACATCCCCACAGCATGATGCTACCACCGCCATGCTTCAACGTAGGGATGGTGCCAGGTTTCCTCCTTCAGGCCAAAGAGTTCAATCTTGGTTTCATCAGACAAGAGAACCTTGTTTCTCATGGTCTGAGAGTCTTTAGGTGCGCTTTGGCAAACTCCAAGCAGGCTGTCATGTGCCTTCTACTGAGGTGTGGCTTCCATCTGGCCACTCTACCATAAAGGACTAATTGCTGGAGTGCTGCAGAGATGGTTGTCCTTCTGGAAGGTTCTTCCATCTTCACAGAGGAACTCTAGAGCTCTGTCAGAGTGACCATCGAGTTCTTGGTCACCTCCCTGACCAAGTCCCTTCTCCCCCGATTGCTCAGTTTGGCAGGGCGGCCAGCTCTAGGAAGAGTCTTGGTGGTTCCAAACTTCTTCCATTTAAGAATGATGGAGGCCACTGTCTTCCTAGGGACCTTCAATGCTGAATGAATGTTTTGGTACCCTTCCCCAGATCTGTGCCTTGACACAATCCTGTATCGGTGCTCTACGGACAATTCGTTTGACATCATGGCTTGGTTTTTGCTCTGACATGCGCTGTCAACTGTGGGACCTTATGTAGACAGGTATGTGCCTTCACAAATCATGCCCAAACAATTGAATTCATCACAGGTGGACTCCAATCAAGTTGTAGAAACATTTAAAGGATGATCATTGGAAACAGAACGCAACTGAGCTCATTTTCGAGTCTCATAGCAAAGGTTCTGAATACTTACTTAAATAAGGTATTTCTGTTTTAAATTTTGCAAACATTTCTTAAAACCTGTTTTCGCTTTGTCATTATGGGTTATTGTTTGTAGATTGCTGAGGAAATTGTTTATTTAATCAATTTTAGAATAAGGCTGTAACGTAACAAAATGTGGAAAAAGTTAAGATGTCTGAATTCTTTCCGAAGGCACTGTACATATCGGATTGTTCTGAAAGGGAAAAATATCCCCCAGTGGATACATTAAGTTTGTAATAAAACTTATTCAAATGTATTTTATGTTTTAACATCAGCTATGCAAAAATCCAGCTATTATATGACCTACATTGTGTAACAGCCCACCAACACCATGCTGATCTGTGAAAAAAATAAAACATTTGCCTTGGCATGGTAACATATTGTAAAGCTGTTCTGTTGATTATCCTACCATGACAGTTAACAGTTATTCCACTGGTATGAGAATAATATCACTAGCTAGCTATTACAGTTGTCACTCAGCAATAAAGTGAAATGCATCACAGCCTAACAAAACTCTGGTAAGGAGAATGCACAGCGCTCTCATTTTCTTTTACTGCATTTGTCATTGAGAGTGCGCACAGACATACATGCACACACAGGGAGGGGGTGAAAATGTAAACATGATTTTGCGAGCTTAAAACATGTTTGACTAAGTAACTAACTAATACAAATGTACATGGCGGAGACTCAATCAAGCTAGTCGTCTTGACTTCTTTCTTATCTAATTCTCGTTGGCACCAAAAGCTTAAAAAGTGTTGATAGGGGACAGAATGTGGTCGGACCATCATATAATATGCATACAGAGACCATGAATGATCCGTCTGTGGAATTGGACTGTCCTCCTGACCAGGACTACTGCAACAGTACTGAACCTGCTGCGCTGGATATGTCCCTTGACCACAATGAAGAACTTAGTGTAGAGATAGCAAGGCTCCGAAATCAAATTGAGGAGATAACTATCAGCAGCAAGTTCTGCTTGGAGCAGTTTGCTGGATCTGATGATGACATAAGGTTTTTCACAAGGTAAATTAAAATGTCCAATGTGTTTAATATATAGGCCTATGTATTTCAGATGTCAACAATGACTAGTATTATTGTCTGTTTAAATGTTGCATGTGTGATGTGTGTTGTTGTAAGCTACTGGAAACCTTGAATTTCCCTCGGGGTGAGTAAAGTATCTATCTAAAACTATCTAGATCCAGGCTATCTACTAGCGCATTAATTGTATTTTAAAATACTGAGAAGAGCAGTAAGCAAAAGGACTGACGTGTGCGTGGTCCAGTTTCTGACCTTAGTGCCAAATGTTCTAAGATGTTGTATGACTGTCAATAAGGATGCTAACATGCTTGCAATTTAATGTTGTGTATGGACACTTAACATATAGAAATGTAACACGTATGTCCCACAGGTTTGCAAGTCATGCCCACCTGATTGCCTTTTGGAAGCAGATAGAGCCATCCACCAGCAAGATCATACGGGTGACAAGAGCACGAAGTGTAGCAAAGACTGATGAGGTCCCTCATACTGGCAATGCAATGGTGAATATATTTTACAGTTGTTCTTACAAAGCAAGATATATTGCATCATCTTATTATCTTGAAAGTTAAGCCAGTAACAATCTATTTGTGTAATGAGGTAATAATGGAATTCTTACTCTTTTCAGGTTCTTCAACCCATTGACAAATGTTTTCTCTTCATGAATTACTTGTCATTGGGTCTGATGCAGAAGGATCTGGCCCACAGATTCAAAATCCACCAGTCAACTGTAAGCCGCATCATAAATACATGGGCTAACTTCCTGTATACTGTACTAGGGTCTGTGGGTATTTGGCTGGATGAGGAGACTGTCAAATCTCACATGCCAGAGGTTTTTCAGGGTTACTCTGGCACACAAATTATTTTGGACTGTACCAAAATACGCTGCCAAACACCTAGTTCTCTTCTCCTCCAGAGTGAGGTGTTCTCTAACTATAAATCACACTGTACATTTAAAGGATTCATTGGGATGGCCCCTCACGGCGCAGTAACCTTTGTGTCGTCTCTCTATGAAGGTGCCATCAGCGATAAAGAGATTCTGAAGCAGTCTGGCATTGTGGCTATCTTAAACCCATCTATGGCCATAATGGTTGACAAGGGTTTCCTTGTAGAAGACTGTGTGCCCTGAAAGGTCCACATACCTACCTTTCTGTGTAAGAGAGCACAACTGTCTGAGCCAGAGGTCAGGAAGACACAATCTATTGCCAGACTGAGAGTCCACGTTGAGCGGCTCATTCGCAGGGTTAAGGAACATAAATTATTCAGTACAGTAATCCCTCTTTCATTGACGGGCAGCATCAATCAACTTTACACAGTTGCCTGTCTTTTGGTCAATGATCAAAATGGGCCCTTGGTTAAAGCCTGGGCAACCAATGGCTAATGTTGGCAGCACAATCCTAAAATGAACACTCATGGATGGCTATGGAACAAATAGGCTGTGATTAAATATGTTATAAAATTCATGTCATTTTTTTTCAAAAATGTTTTTATTGAGCCACAGATTATCGTACAGACAGTAAATTAGTCAAGTCAGCGCTCAATTTTTTAGAACGGTAACAGTAAAGTTACAACTATTAATCTATATACATACAATATTCGGTACAGAAAAACAGAATTAAAGCACACAGTGCGAAACCAGAGCATAAATAATAAAGAAATTAGGATAGAGAAGAAAACAAAAGGTAAGAGTGCATACAAGAAAGTCTCAGTATTTGTATGTTATAATTTGATATGTTACAATTTGTATATGTGACAATTAAAGGGGAACTATGCAGCTTTTTTAGCTTAATTTACCTTAACTGAACAGCTTCGGAGTCATTGGAATGGTTATATGACTTTTTTCGAGTTGAATGGTGGTCGTGTCCCTTCCCCCTACCGCCTGTGAGCGGAAAAAACACCCTTGCAACTTTCGGCCGGCGAGCCGCCGTCCACAGCGTCAGGAAGTATCGCGTGATATCAGGTCTCGCGATGTAACGAATTGCTTCACAGCACTGCACACATACACACATTCAGGAACCGGCTAACAAGGTAGCGATGGAGTTTTTCACACTATCGTCATGGCTGAGCCGGCCAAAAAGAAGCAGAAAGCTAGGAAAGCATTGTCAGAGGAACAGAGAAAGAGGAAATGGAAGGCTGACTGAGCAAGGAGTCAGACACAAGTAAACATAGGAGCTGCCAAATATCTATATGTAGGGGGAGCTCTATAGAGAAAAAAACGAAGAAATGACCAAAACTGCATAGCGCCCCTTTAATATTACAATGTTGTAAATAAGACAGTTGACAAAATACATTTTAAAATGATTGTACAATAATTCATGTGTCTATTCAGTTACTTTTCATAGAGAGGTTTTTTGACATGTATGTGTTAAAGAAAAACAAATCACATCTCTCTTTCAGGGAGCTTAATACAGTGCTGTCTCGGCAAATATGCTGCACGAAAATGTCATGTGGGCACAGACAACAAAATCACACCATTCCATGCCTGTGATGAGTAACTGACCCTGGACTTGCCAATAATAACAATGGCTTTCCTTCAATTTGTGTAGGCCATGGTCAAATCTCAGGAACTTGCAGTCTATGTAGCTGGCTACATTTGGGCATTTCATTTCAACTAGACCAAATGATGGTCTCTCAAGTGGGTCATATACCAGCCCATCAGGCGATGCACCCAGCCAAGGTACGTCTCGATGCACGACTAGCCCACACTTTGTCAGATTAAGACTTTTTAGAAATGCATAGTCCTTCAATGCACCTGCTTCAATTTCCAGCCCCCTTTTCATTAGTGGTGTTTGTCTTGTCCCTCTGATAATTCTTTCTGCCAGTATTTCTGCTGTGCTTGTACCCCTAACATGGCTTACCTCCCGGAAATGTGAAGCAGTCACTCTCTCCTTCCTCAGTGAATGCCACTCAGGTGTTTCACTTTGGCATCTGGTTGCTTCCTCAATCAGGTGTGACTGTGACAAAGTCACAGACAGAGAACTGAGGTGAAGCTTTTCTTGATCCGTCATGATCTCGTATGAACAGTCTGTTGGTTGTAAATGGTAACCGTCCAGTGGCACTTTTGGGAACGGTGGTGCATCCTCATGGATGACAACACTGCCAGGTGGAGGTGGTGGGTGTTGATATGACAGGATACTGCCAGTTTGTACCTTGCCAAAAATGGAGTCCACGAGTGGTTTGTCAGATGTGATGTTCATTCTGCAGATAAGGGGAAGAGAGTCTGGTTCTATGTCAGCATAGGCAGGTAGTGGGTTGAGGGTTGATGGGTCTGGTAGCTCACCGCTGTAGCTCTTGTAAAGTGTAGATCTGGAATAACAATATCAGGAAAAGTAAAGGGTTCACTAGGAAATACACCAGAATCTAACAGCGATTAATAACATTTATTTCGCAAAACACATTGTAGTCTGCCTATTTAATTGGACTCTGCATACCTAATTCCGCTTGCCGGAGTAGCATCTGGTTTGGGCTTCACTACAACCATGGCATCCACAGGTCCTGGCTTCACTCCCTATTTATTTATGAGATGGTATTAGGAGAGATGCTAGTATGCATGTGACACAACTGTCTGGTATTGAAATGATACAAACCATTGTTCGTGGTTTATGCCACTTCTGCTCTGTTTCAGTGCACGAAAGTACAGGAGGGACGACAGACATGCCACAATCAGAGTAATGGGCAGTCTGATATAGTAATGCAACCAAATGATTGCATATCCCACACCCAGCCACACAGGAACAGTAGCTTTTAACAAGCACAACTGGCTGTGAATCACACAATGTCATCTGAAATACACAGAAGCATAATTTAATGGGTTTTGAAAGACGAGGGTCTACAGCAGCAGGAGTAGGAGCAAAACTTGTTCTTTCTACTTTTTACTGGTGTAAGCAACATATCTACTGTCTCGTGTCACTTTTGTGCTTTCTGCATCACTTTCCTACTGTCTTGCACCACTTGGCTATACTGTCTCCCACCACTTACCTATTGTCTTGTGCTATTTACCTACCTTCAAACAGTATTGGCAAAGCAGTAGGTGAGTGGTGCAACATTGTAGCCTAGTACCAATAACAACAGTAGAGTGAAGGTTTTGCTCCTAATTCCTCTTGAAAAGTAGAAACATCAAGTACAAAAGCAAGGAAGTTGGGTCATATGTTTATAAAGAAAGAAGTTAAGATGACAGGACATTTTTGAGTAGAACATCAGCAGTTTGAAGAATAGCTGAGTGAAATATGTTACTGTCATTGCAGTCATCAAGTCAGGAAAAAGTAGTAATCTCATTATTGTTTACATTTCAAACCAAACTCCAATTTGTTTACAACAGACCCAACAACAAAGCATGGCAATTCCCACTCAGCTACCCTGGTCTGTATTAGGCTACCACTGTTCAGCTATCGTGAAAACCACTAAAGTTCTAAAGTGTTCTCTTAGCAATGGCAATCTAAGCTGTGGTAACATTAAACAAGTAAAACATGTGTTGAGCGGAACCTTGAACAAGTTCAACAGAACTTTGAACTTGTCACTTAACCTAGTCCTACTCTCAGCTGGTGTGGTGGCTTTAGTTTCTTCATTGAGCGGTAGCAGTGGGCTCTTACAGAGATCTAATTTGTAGCCCTGTTTTTACCTGATACTTTCATAAAAGTACAAACACATGAAGTGAGAGGTATATACACCTGATTAAACTTGATTTAAAGCATGATCAACCTGAAGCAGGACGGAGTCATGACTTCAAACACCAAAGCAAGGGTTCTAGCTCAGGCTAGCTAGCGTTAGCATATTACCTTCAAAGTTGCAAAGAAAAGAAGAAATGTAAAATTTGAAGCCTTTATCCAGTTTGCTACCTGGTGTCGTACTGGATGTCCGGACGACCCTCCCGTATATCATTATCAGATACTTTAGGCAACTCCAGCAAACACCTTGTAAACTTCATCTCTGCCATCATAACGGTCTACTGTCACTGTCTAATGTTTTTTTCTGGTAACCGGAAATGCCCAAGCATCCTTACGCCAATGCGGAAGTGATGCGTGCATAGAGCCTATTAAGCCCCTCTCACGAGCTAGCTAGCTAACTATGATACTGTTAGTTGGATAACTACAGCAAGGTAGTTAGCAAACCAGCTAGCTATGCTTTCCCGCATTGTTTACTAATTTAGCATCTGACTGCAGGTAACATTACACAGAGTAGCTAACATTAAGATTAGGTGCTAGAGAAAAAAGTAGTTTGCTAACGTTAGCTAGCTACACGCGCACACACCAATGACTAGCTAATCACCAGCAGTAGCTAACTAGCTAGGCAGTTACATTCGGCCAACTCATTGTCCTCATCTCCCCTTCTTAGAGGCGTATTAATGCCCCTCTCTCACAAACTTTGATAGCTAGTTAGATAGCTTGTTAACCCATACAACAAGTTAGATAGTTAGCACATCAGTTAGCTATGCTTTCCCACCTTGTAGCTAGCCATATATATTCAACTAACCACTTCTGTCTGTGTTGTAACGCTAGTTAGCTGGCATCTGCATTCTAGAGAAAATAATAGTTTGCAAAAAAATATTTAGAAAATTATTCTGACAAAAATGTGTACTTACTGTATAGTCCCCACTCTCGCTTGTCCTCAACTTTTTGAAAGTCGTCGCTGTGCTGTGTGGTTTCTGTGTGGAGCAAATGGTGCATATGGCTTCTCAGTCTTTTGTCATCCTAGCACTTGCGCAGTAACTTTGTCACAGAAGCAATTGGTTGTTAAATTATCTAATTCAAATTGTTATAAATTCAGTTGTTAAATTCTGCACCCATAAGATTACAGGCCATTTTCAGTCATATTCTGCCTAAATCAGAACATCTGACAACTTGTCAAGCTAAATTTGTCGAGAAATATATATATTTAATGTACATTTTATTGTAGATATTTCCATGAAGCCACCATCATTGAATCAATATAGGTTATGCAATATATTATTAATTTCATGGATCTCATGTTTTCAATGAGTACAACAAGCTAGCGGTCAGGCTGATCTTAGGCTAAATATGGACCAAAATGGACAGACTAAACAACGCCCAATTTGGGACTACTATTTTTGGGAGAAATAGTGACCACGACGGACGGACCTGATATCGCCCATAACTCAAAGTCCATTGACATCACGTGCTGAGTGGGCGCACACAAAATGTACAAAAAAAGTGAAATGTGTTTCCATCGCATTTTCAACTCTGATATTTTTGTCACAAAAACTGTTGCGTTAAATAGCAAATGTATCTACTCTGGTCTTGGCATGTGCTTTCTAGCCAACAGCTCGCAGATACAGTGTCAAGTTGTCAGGGTAGGCTGTGCGGGTAGGCTAGTCTACAAGCTAAGATTATTATGGAAAAAAGCGAGAATATTTATATTTGTCAAACGGCATTCAAGCATCGATCATCATGTCACCAGAATCAGACCTTTGATGTTTATTGGAAAGGAGCATCAAGATCACGGGCACTTTCACCACCCTGTGAAGTTAATCATTAGTTATTTCATCTGTAGCCTATTAAACTGCATGATTCCCGAGTCATAGTGGGAGGACCACACACTATATCATCGCGTGACTCCAAGTTCATTTCGATATGATTGAGCATAAAGGCGTTTCCACCGTCATTTCTCACGTCATTAATTTGACCAACACAAAAAGATCCCACCATGTCGAACAAACACATTACCTGTCAGCATTTATAAAATTGTACCAAAACTTCCTGTTTCCATCACAGCTGGCATTATTATTTTTTAATACGTTATGACTTTACTCGAATAAAAACTATGGATGGAAACATGGTTAATAATATAAATATATTAACAGAATCCCTTCAGATAATGAGTGAATTTACCTAGAGCAAAATGATGTTACGACTGACATGATTGATCTCTTTTCTTAAAGGATGGAATTGCAGCATTTTGTTTTGGTGATGTTAAGAAAGCTGGGAGCTCTCTGGTCCCTGGACCTCTCTCTCCCTTCAACATGGCTACAAAGCTTTAACATTATGACTGACAGCAGGAGGTAATTTATGAAGTAGAAATTCTCTTTACACTCTCACTTCAGTCACAGCTAGGTCTGCACCTGTTCCACAGAAGTTAAGGTCCCTGCGGAATGACAGAAAAAATGTTTTCATACTGTGGTGACTAAGTAATGAGTAAAAAGTAAAGTTTGAAAATTCTATTTTTTTTCTATTTCTAAATGTTTTTTCTGTTTCTCTATTTTTCTATTCCGCCTGTGTGTGCTATAGGTTGATAAACATGTCGGGGGTATAACCAGACCCGTCGCCAGACCTCAGTCTTAAGGGGGGCATATGAAATGCATGGGAGGGCAGGGCACAATTGTTATTAGCCTACAGTACATATATTTAATAATAAATTCCCTCAAGTGGGGGGGGGGCAAAAGCATTTTTGGGGGCGGGCCCGGACCCTATGGCCCGCCCATAGCGACGGGTGTGGGTATAACTATGGAGCTGCAAAACACTGCTAGTATAGAAAATACTTTCCAGTTAATTCTTGACACTAACCTAAAGTACCCTTTGAAAGCCACAGTCTCCTATCAGAGCACAGAATGGCTTTAACAGAACTCAAAGTGAAGGAAAAATACCTATACATTTTAAAAACTCACACTTTCAGACTAACTTTTTCCAACCACTCAGAGAAAACAATAGAAAGATGAAAAGCCAAGTAATAAGGTGGTGAACAGTATTCTACGCGAGCCTGTGAATGAATAGCAGTGTAAGGATGGCTCTCCAGTGCGGACAGCTCAGCGGCAGCAGCAGTAGCAATAATTAGGCTGTTGTGTCGGTAAAGGCTATTTATTAGCAATCCATTGAGTCTGACTGACTTTCAAAGCCAGGCACCTCCAGAATGAATTGCCCTCTACAATAGATAAACACACACACACACACACACACACACACACAGGAGCATTCACACGAACACACGTATACATACACAAACACCTACACGTATACACACACGTACACACACACACACACACACACACACAGCAACAGACACACACAAGTAATATTCATATGAAGTACACACAAACCCACATACATACTGTAGGCTACCTGTACAGACATGTGAGGGGTATGTTGTCCTGAAATGTATTTTGAACGTTTGAAATATGTCAGACCCCAGTAATATGTGTCGGAAGCCAGTAAGACTAGCTGCCGCCATTAACGTTGGCTAATGGGGATCCTAATAGATCAAATAAATATGCAGTAAGCAAGAACTACACTAATGAACATATCAAATAGCTCAGCTACCTTATGTGTCCTTATTTCCCTGTAAGGAAGGAATATACGTTGCATTCGGAAAGTATTCAGACCCCTTTACTTTTTCCTAATTTTGTTACGTTACAGCCTTATTCTAAAATTGATAAAATAAAAAATGTCCTCATTAATCTACACACAATACCCCATAATGACAAAGTGAAAACAGGTTTTAGATTTTTTGCAAATGTGTATATATATATATATATATATTATTTTTTTTTCAATACCTTATTTACATAAGTATTCAGACCCTTTGCTATGAGACTCGAAAATGAGCTCCGGTGCATCCTGTTTCCATTGATCA